CCAAAGAATCAGGTTCAACTAAGAAAATATGTACACTGCTTTGACTCAATAAACTCATACTCTGTATGGTTCATCTTCTTCATATTTACTTTTGCCCATATTAGAAAACAATTAGCTTACTAAACAAATTTGAGTATTTGGGAAGAAAATATCTACTTTGAGTCTCTCTCATTTGACTAAGAATTACATGATATTTGATAAGCTTGTTTAAAAATGGACATATCCAAATATTATTGTAAACACCCATTGATTTGTTTTACCTGCAATATAAGTATTTTACTTAGTTGGCTTACATAGTAGCTAATAATATTTGTTAATGTAATTTAACTGCTGTGAACCTTTACTGAACAAATATTGAAATTTATACAAGTCAAAGAAAGAGAATCTCTAATGACTTTTGTAAAAGCTTCCATTTAATAGTTAAGGAGAAAAGTTTATATGACATACCAGATGCAATTAACAGTAGATTTTACATTTAATAAAAAGAAAGAAGCATATGTATTTGCTTTATTCATTCCATCATAATTTGCATTAGAGCTGTGGGTGTTTAATGAGCAAATTCCAGCTAAAATGCTATATTGATTTTCTAAGTGAACTTTGTAATAGCTATCTACCTTACAAAAGCTCTCTGTTTACAATTGTTTTCTTTACTAAAAACTAAAAATGTTTTAGAATTGATGAGTTTAGCATAATGATTCTTTTAAAATAAAGAGCTCTTTTAGAGTATGCATGAATTTTAGTTACAAGGAGAAAGATGTTATTAAATTATTCCAAAGCAAATAAAGTTTATTCAACTAAATAGTAGTCATACTTGCATATTTTACAAGCATTGGAAAATAATCTTTTTTCTTAATTTATCACTATAGGAATTGAACATTTTAACTCTTGATTATCATATGTATATGAATTTGAAAATGACACAATTCATTTTAGCTTAACATTTGCCCCATTCATACTTCATTTTGTATGTCATTTTCATGCTTGAAACATAAGTGCTATAGGAATTTGCGTTTCTTGTTGGTCAGGCCTCAAGATAAACAGGATAGGGTTGGTTGGTGTGCTGTTGGAAGCTATCCAAGAAAAACCTCATGGTGCCGACCAGAGCAGTGGGTGACTAAGTAGCTGGATCAGGCATCAAGTCAGTATGCCAGTATGGGGCTAGTGGTTTACTTGGATGTACCATACCTTGAATGAGACTTTGGAACCTGCCTTGTTACTTTCAATTACTTTTTGCCTGGCATTTGAAAGAAGATTTTGGTTAGTAATCTGGATATTTTGGGCTGTTTTTATTATGGGGGATTTTTATGTCTCTTTCATACACGTTAAATTATGTGACTTTACGTGTCACATGCTTTCTGAAATATTTCATCAAATGTTTTGTTTTACTGCTATACTGAAACCCAGAGGTGTATGCATTTCGGTGGCTTATTTGAAGAATCTTGTGAAGCTCATGATTTGGATGATTTGTGTCCACAAGGAAAGTGCAGCATTCTGCAGTCAGTTTCCTCAAAGTCACGGAGACTAATGTAATGCTGAATCCTTGTTTGAAAATGTTCAGAAGTGTTCTTTATCCCATGTTCTTTGCCCAATTTTCCAATTAGTCCTTATTTTTTTTTTTTTTTTTTTTAAGTAGTATTTAAGTTGCAGTTGAAGGCATAGCACTCTGTATGGAAGTCCATCTCAAATTAGCATTCAGGAATCAAACCCAACTTCTACCTGTGACTCATCCATTAGTTCAGTCTGAATGTTGAACGTTGTTGAACAGTAGCATACTTCTGCTGACCTGAAATTATATAGCTACTACAATATTCCATACAATATTTTTAAAAAGGAATTTTAAAAATGTTAAGTACAGTAAGAAATGTGCAGGCATTGGATAACAAAAACGTCTAACTTAAGTTCAGCAGAAGCTGTGACTACTGAAGGAATAGGAGGTTCTGTAGACAACTGAAATGAGTTTGATGAAGGCTTAACTATTTCTAAGTATTTTTTTGTTATTCCCTGTGGTCAGTGTCAGAATTATTACCTGGTATTAAAATGACTATGCTAAGTACCTTTTAAAAAAACAATAAAGCAACTTGTGAAAGTTAAGTCACTATTTTGTAGCCAACAGCTAAAAGACAGTATTTTGTAATGATGAATCTTTGGGTGAGAGAAGAGTTCACTGTTCAAGGCAACCCGCCTCTTGGTTGTTATCAGGGATGGTGAGATTTGAGATAAGCAGGATGCTTACGTCACTTGAAAAATCTCTGAATGTTTTCATACCACTATATATAAAATACTGCTATTATATACTGCTGCTTCATACTCTATATATACATGTCTTTGGTTTCAAGATGAATAAGCAATAATACAGCCTTTAAAAGCCTGTGTAGTCATTCATTACCTCTATTTATTATTCCTCAGAGAGGAAATTACGTATGCCAAAACACAGTCCTGCTAAGTGTACTCACGTGCTCAAGACTCATTTTAGCATTTAGCAAATGAGAGTTTTGCATGCTGACATAAGAGATGAATAAGGTATGATAGAAGGAGTACAGTCAATCAATTAATAAATAACCTCCCTACTCCCCCTCGCCCTCCCCCAAAAAAAGAACAACAAAAGAAACATAATTAATTAATGCCAGAATAAGTGCCAAATCTGCAGTTATTTTAGACAGCTTTGTACTCATTCCAGCAATTATTTTCATGCTGAAAATTGCATAGTATTTTCAGTTGCAGCTTTATGGAAAGGATTCTCTGTGCAGTGTCACTGGCATAACAGTAGATAAAATGACATAATTTACTGGAAAAAAACTATAGTAAATGAATACTTTAAGGTACAGATAGGTAATAATTATCATAGACAATAAAACTAATTGTATGTTCCAGATCCAGCCAGGACATAGTGGTTGCACTGTGATGTGCCTCAGAGATGAAGCACTAGTTTCCCTACTAGCACTGATCTCAGCAAGCTAAATGGAAGTCTGACGATCTGAAATGCATAGTCTGCTCCATACAGTTTGTTCTTCTTCTTGCTGAGCCACCTACCTTTGCAGGCATTGGACTCCTGCAAGTGCTACAGATTTGTTCCTGACTACTAAAACGTGTACATGCGGTTTTGCAGCTGCTTTATTCATGCCTAAGTTTTGTCATTCCGTATCAAGGACAGTCTTGTTGTGAATGGCAAATAAATCTTCTAAAAAATAATACTGTTCATGTGGAAGAAGAAAATACTTAAATGGGAGAGAATTAGATCAATGTTTCATAAATTTTGTGTACGTTATCAAAATTCAGGCTGCTGATGCTGATTTCTTTTGGGGTGTACAGGCTGGAGGGGTGAGGATGCATCTTATTAAAGATTTTTGTGAGAGATAGGACTGCACCCCCAGAAGTAGCATTTAGCCTTTCTTTATCTGCTTTTGTCCAGTCTGCTGTTACTGCACAACCTTTTCCCTTTTTGCTTGAGTGCAAAAACACTTCTTTACTTCTCTGTTAACACACTTCTCTCTTACCTTGAACATCTTCCTAATTTGTCTCCCAGCATTCTTTTTCAGTTCGTCTTCACACCCATTTTACTTCACTCGTTATTTGAGCTTCTTATATTCACTTGTTTTATTCTTTTTCCTCAGTACTGATAACATGTAAGTATTTTGTGCCCATATAGCTGCTACCGAAAACTCCTGTTTTCTTATACTTCTTTTTAGTAAAGAGCAACAAAGTATTTTATTTTCCACTGTGAAGGTCTTGTGCAATAATGTACAAAGGCAAAGTAAGAGTACAGAAAAGTAATTATAAAGGCAATGAAGTTAATCTTGATTGAGGTAAGAGTGGAGGCATAATAGCTCCAAATGAAGAGGAAGGCTTCCTCTGCAGTCTTCACATAATGATTTCAGCAGTGGCTCATAGTGGAGCTGAGAGTTCTGACAGGAGTAAGGAGGTCCATCAGCAGTGGCTTAATACAGAAGAGTCTTGAGAAGGGTAGTAAACGTTGCCAAACTTCTAAAGTGACTCTAGTTATGGTATCAGGAGCCTGTAGTTAAACAGAAGCTCAACACACTAGAAGAGAAGCATTGAGAATTCTGGGATCTGCAGACCTCCCTTACAGTTTTTGGTAGAGGTGCCTGGGACAATCAGGGAGGATACAGTCCCTCTTTCTGGGACCGGCAGCAGCCTTTTTTCTTTGGCATCCCAGAAGTCCCTAGACATTCAGGCTGCGGGGTTTTATGATGGCTGTGAGGAGATTTGCAGTATTGCAGAGGGAAATGATGAAAGTATGAATAAAGATTTTAGTGAAGGCAGGGTGGGGGTAAGGATTCTGGCAGTGTGCCAGGGATGGTGTTAGACATATTGACAGGGGAGAGGCAGGAAGAAAGCATAAGCTCGGGATGAGGAATGACTAGAAGGTGTTAGTTTGCTCCCAAGGATAGACAGTAAATCTTAGTTTATTGGTACCTAATGCTCCAAGGTCCATGTATGCAGTAACAGATAATATAACAGTATATTACACAATAAAGCAAAGGCTTGGCAGGGTAGGAAACATGCCAGCTGTGCCACTTCTGTGATACTAGAGATAGACATGCTGTGAAAATATTAACATTTTTAGTATTTATGTCAGTGTGTCATTGTGATATGAAGCAGTGTGATGATAGATGTACTTTCAATGGGTCATTACTCTTAATTCTATGTATTGTAGAAGAAACCTATTGGTACCTCATATGGTCTGGAGATTTAAAAATTACTTTTCCGTGAAGCAAGTGTTGAGAATGCAAAGCAAATCAATTCCTTGCCCTGTTTCAAGGGTGAATTTGAAAACCCATAGCTTAATTTAATTATTGAAAGATTTCATTTCAGCAGTCAATAGCTATTTATTGTTGTGTCTGGAGAGTAATAGAGAGCAGAGGTTGGTGAAAAAAGGTTGATTTATGGAGATGCTGACAATGGCCCATGTAAGTGTACATAATGGTGTACTTCCCTGCCAAACTGTTACTGTATGCTAAACATACTGGTTACTTTTGCAGCTCTGGTGGAAGAAGTTTATTCTGCTCAACGGGAACGTGACAAGGCGGTCATGGCAAGGCTTAGATTAGCCAACGAAGAGAGAGATGAAGCATTTCTACGAGTCCGGCGTTTAGAAGAGTCACTGAAAGAGTAAGTCTTTACTTCCTGTCCTGTGCAGGCAGGCTGTTGTGTGGATCTGTAAAGGTCATAAATTGTTTGACAGCAGTTACGCAGAAAATCTTACCTTACTATTTTAGCCATCTTATGAGACCATATTTTTCTCTAGATACTAAGTACAAGTTGAACAATTTGATTACAAAAATATAATCAAGAGCTTTGGTATTGATTTATTCAGAGATAAATAAGAGTAATGTGACATTTTACGAGGATCTTTTAACATGAAGTACAAGAATGTCAGTCAGAAGTTGCAATGTATAGAAAATCAATCAAGCCTTTAAGCCCAGGAGATATTTCCTACTGCAAAACTTTTAGTAATTATGTGGATGATTTGGCAAAAATATGTTTTCTTCCATATCTTTAGTGTAGAAGCAGTTTTAATACATGAAGGGTATACTTAATGCTTTCTAGAAATTTGTGTATGCCATGCTAACCTAACAGAAATAGTCAATCAATTGATAATGAAAACTATTAAGTCAGGAGAGGAAGACTTTTCTGACTTTGGGATATATAGGTAGCCTTGAAGCTACAGCTTGCTTCATCGTGTAACCCTCCTCCAATCATCTTGGTTACCATTCAGTGGTAACCCTCCACTAGCTGAGAAATTTTCTTGCCAAGAAAAATGGAAAAACATAAATAAGAAAATGAGTAACTGAGAGAAAGTTAGTACCTCTCCTGGAAAATATGCATAAATGTTTGTGGAACTTCATGTACATGAACTTATCTACATGTATCCTCGTGAATATTTGTCTGTTCCCTGAGATCCTTTCACCACAGTACTTGCTCTATGTTCAGTGTAGGCTAAAATGACCTTCAATCTCAAAATTCCCTGTGGAATCTGTTTTGCTTGTTTTTCATTTCAAATTTTCATTCTCCTTCTTTGCATTACAATTCTGTAGTTACACTTCTATTGCTTATCTACTTTTTCTTCCCACTTTCCTTCTCTGTCTTTTAATTCCACTTCTTTATCACTTCTTCAGTCAAAGAAGACTGCAGAGCAAAATTAAAATAGTAGTAGCTAGATGAAAATGTGAAAGGCAGAGATATGCAAGAGAAGAAGGGCAAGCAAGATAGGAGGACTGAGGGAGAAAAATTAGTGTACTGATTAACATCCAGTAGCAATCATGTTCTCTGCATCAGCTTTCTTAATATTTGCCTCTTTCCTGATCTTTTTTACCTATAACGTCAAACAGCAGTTTTGATAGGAATGTTGTAAACTTTAACTATGTCAGACAATATACAGAAAGGTTCCTTGCCCTGTTCCACCAATTTACACATAGTACTACCTCAGTCCAGTTTGACCATTCCCACAACCTGACTATCTACAAGCTGACAACAACCCTACCTTGACCCTTGTCACTCAGCTCTGAAACAGCACCTTCTCAGTAATGTGATGTTTCTTCCTAAAAGAGTAATACTGTCATAAAGAGAAACATTGCTTGTTGTGGTTGCTGGTTTGGAATCCGGGGAAGGAGGCTCCATTCTTTTTCAGTGAAGCCTTTGGGGATTACAAACTCCAGAAGTCCACATGCACTAAGTTTACAGGATGCTTATTCATGCAGCTGTACACCTTGGAAGCAGGAAGCAGTCGAGTGGAGCCAAGATTCTTGCTGGACAACCAGCCTGGCTCAAGCACGGCAGTTTTTCAGCACATTAAGCATCTTTACTAACTGTGTAATGCTTACCTGAGGTGACAAAATATACTTTATATTGGACTTACAGCATGTTGCAGTGAGAGGAGAAAGCCAGGGTGATGCTGAAAAGAGTTGAATTGAAGTGGTTAAGGCTCAGATGCTCTCTGCAGTATTCACAAAAGTAGAGTGATTTAGACTTCGCTCCTAATTTACCAGTAAATGTTACCTCACTATATAGCTTCAATAAGTCTCATTCTTACATGCTTCCTTTGTAGTTAACCACACAAGGAACTTACTTTGCTCAGCTTCTTCATTCTAAATAGTTTAATACTGTGGCTGAATGGAAATTTTGGGGAGCATTCACCTTGCCACTAATCCTTGAGTAGGAGCAGTGATGATAAGATGAGCCACAAGAAACTTAGTTTGTGGTTTCTTTCCAAAAACGTTGTATTTTTTCTAACTACCACCCTTCATACATTCTTCATGCAGTTGTTTAAAATACCAAGCTTTCTGACTGAGAGGTGAAGCCTATAGAGTATTCTTTGTAATGTTTTTAGGCTACTTGTGCCACAAGCATCAAATTTTAGAGCACAAGTCATTCCCTCCATCTGCTTTGGACTTGTTCCAATGAGAGATTTCTACAAGAGGGCAATACTGAACAGGCTGCCAACCCTTATCAAATGCTTTAGTGCTCGCTTTAAATTATGTGCTATAGCAATTCTATTGTCATCATTTAACTGTAGCAACTGAAATTCTTTCCGTTCTGTTAGCCCTAGGGTACATATTAGTGTAATGTGTACAGAGATGGGGGAAGAAGGAACCCTTGATTATTGATGTTTAAAATCAAGAGAGACATGAAGGCAAATACTCAGCTCTGGATGCTCAGTATTTTTAAAAAATACTGTCATCTTAGAAGAATGCATCCTCTGTGACAGCAGTATGCTGAAAAAGCCACCCTTATGGTGGAAGTTTATGTTCGTTTTCCCACCCCCCATTTCCAGTCTAAGGTGTCCTGCTTACCCAGCCTTATGGTTGGCTGGGTGATTTGTTGACCCATACTTTTAGCAGGATAGAAGTCCTCTAGAGAAGCAGATCAGTCCTGCCAATTTACTTTGGCAAATACTGTTCCTGTCATCTTGAATACAAACTAGCTTAAGATCCATTTTTAAGTCTCTCATGAAGTGAAACTTGCAGCATTAATTATGAAACCAAAAGTAGAAACTCTATGAGAAGCCAACTCCAGGAGCCAGATCTGATTTTATGATTTATGTTACTTTATGAGTACATCTATAACCCAGCAAAGATTAGCTTTTACTTTTTTTTTCGTTGTTCCATTCTGATGCTGACTGTAGGTGTTAGAGTAATTACTGCTTTTAAACTCCATATGAACATACTAGCTACTGTACATAATAGTACATTCTGAACTGTTTCTTTTTTATTTAAACAGTTAATTTTGTATGGTTGATTTACCGTGCATTATATGTAAAACTAATTCTTTAAGGTAAAAGATGCTAATGTTCTGTCAAGTACTCTATGATGTTTGCTAGCTAAAGTCTTGGCCTTAGAGCAGCATCTGTCACAGCACTGAAAAAGTATGCATTGCTTTATAGCAGATGTTTAGTGGCTACTATTTGTCATTTTAAATAGTATACAAGTGACAGAAATATTTTTTTTATAAAAGTGACCATTAAATAAGTAGCAATGAAGTGGTGTAATTGTAATATACTCATTTTTCCAGAATAGAGGTCTCCTCCATTTTAAAATACATATAAATGCTGTAAATACTATTCTGTCCATATAATTAAGCTTAAGTAAAGTAAAATACAGAGATTGTTAAACCCCATTTGTTAGATCTTTGCACTATCACTCACTGCTTTTGCACAATATTCTACTGTGTATAACTAAATTCCTCGTATCATTTTTGTATTTGACAGATTAAAATATGTACTATGAAATGAAATGGGGGAAAGTAGAAGCAGCTTATGTGCTTAAATAAGGACTTTGCAGGGGGTTGTCCTAACTTGCTATTTTGTGCAAGATACAAAAGCAAAACATTTTCAAGGAAACTTCAACTAGTTCATTTCCTCCTTTTGGAAGAGAGGTGGGAAAATAATTGCATAAAAATGAAGAAGAAAAACAAACCACAAAACAAACAATCTTTACAAAAGTCTTGTCCTGTTACATTTATGATGTACTGAAAACAACAAAAATACAGTGTTGGGTAAAAGTTGTAAGTCCAGAAATAAATAAAATAAGAGCATCAGTCATTTCTATCACTGGGGAACTTTCTTCATCTAAGCACATATGAACAATTGATCCTTGTAGTCATATATAGCAGTAAACATTAATAACTTAACAGTCTGAAGTCAGTGCTGAAGATATGGAGCATTATTGAAAGATGGAGTCGAGCAGGTGGCACTTTAATATGTTCAGTGTCATGGTTGACTCTAAAGACTAGTAGAATGAAATTACTTGAGGTTCTAAAGATTTAAAAAGCGAACTCATTTTGCTGCACTAAGGAAATGCTACTGATCAGGCTTTCTGTGTCCCTTTTTTCTAGGCTAGAAAATATTAACCCTGAAGAAAATGACATGGTAAGCCATTCTCTGAGGAGATTTCTTGATGTCAGTCTTATATCTTAGAGGCTTAAGTTCAATTGAGTGGGTTTCAAGAACTAAGATGTGGGAAAAAGAAGAATTGACACACTAATAATGTACATCTTTGCTGCAATATGAAAATTCAATAACTTCACTCAGTCAATTTACAATTCACATGTGCCTATTAATTAAAACCCTATATTAAATAAAATATATTAAAACTTCATGTCTGACTAACATATAATGCTGTTGGTAGACATTACAGGAATTACTGAACAGAATAAACAATGCAGACACAGGGATAGATATACTCAAGAATGGAGCTATAATTCTGAATCGAATACACAGGACCAAAGAACGTAAAAAGAAAATAATAGCTGAGGAAATGAATGCAGTGATAGAACAACGGGATGCTGCTTTGTCTCAAGTAAGTCTCTACAAGTATGTAATCACTGAATACCATTTTTTTTTATTTTTTATTTTTTTTAACTTTTGGGGAATACATTTACTTTGTTAACTTTCTTCAGTTGAAAATCTCAGTAACAGTCCTTATAGTACATGGCTGATTAACAAGCAACAGTTTCTTCAAGGCAGTAGTGGTTATTGGAATGACACCAATCTATTTCACAGGAGGGATTGTGTATTCTTTCTACCTGGTCACTAGCTGACACATTTAAAAATAAATAAATATAATATTCATTATACTGAGTAATCTAAAAAGGTGTTAAGATCTTAATTTTCCAGTATTCTGTAGCTGTATAAAACAGTCTGTGATTGGGACTCAAGGATTTGTAAAGAGTATAAGTGACAGAAACGTACACTGAAGGAAGATAAGACTGCTGCATGTGACGAAGCAAGCAATTCTTCCCTTTATTGCTTTACATTCAGAAGCTGAAAATTGGCATGTGGTCCTTGACTCTCGATGTTTAACACTTCTGCTACTTAGCTTAAAACAACCTGTGTATTCTCTTCTGTTCAGATCAATCATTCTCTTTGCTTTCCTATCTTCAAAGAAGAATATTATCTTCATTCTCTTCACCCTGGAGAATGTCTCCTTATTTTTCCTATCACATAGAAGAGTTGTTATGTTTGTTTTTTTTTTTTTTTTTCCACAGCCTTCTTTCCTGTTGTTTTTTTTAACCTAGATTAAACTCAATAGGAGTAGTCTGTAGAAAGAGGAATACTAAGCAGGGGGCTACATCTCACAGAATTGTAGACTGGATGAACATCCTTACGCTTTCATGCAAGACAAGAAATTTCATCTATGTCTTGTTCCAATATTGAAAATTTCAGTGTCCACTGAATGTGAGCCTATACCTAAATAATTCTTTAATTCTAACAAAATTAGATTTAAAGTCAAATTTGTGATCTTGACTAGTATTATGATGATTGAATTTATTTTGCATTGACATGTTTTTCTGTAAAAGATACTCTTCCACTCACTCTGTAATTCTCACGGGTTTTTTTATTGTTGTTTTTTTTGCAATCGTTGTCTTTGTTATCTGTCCTCCTGCAGCCTTGAAAGACGTATCTTCTTGGTTCCTAATATATTTTATGTCTGTATCCTATGTGCACTACAAAGGATGTTAATGTTGATGATGTTAATGTTGGAAGTTCACTTTTTCACAGTACTTTCTTTTACTTTTATATTAATGAGGAGCAGCATAGCTACTCAACTGTTCTGCCAAAAAGTTTATGCTCTTTATTTTTTAATTATGATTGGATTTCTTCTTTGCTCAGGGCATTTGGAAAGTGGGCAGCTTATAAGAAAAAAATCTGTCAGCTCAAGGGAAGGATATTTAGATAGTTTTACTTTTCTTCTGCGAGATTTTGCTTCTTTGGTGAAGTAAACTTTTCAGACACGCTTGGACTTTAAATATTTTATGAAGGATATCAGAAGAATGTCATTGCGGGGTGTTATAATATACATTTTAATTGAGTTGATTTTTAAGTTACCTGTTCAAGGAATAATATACAGACATTTATACAAGTCTTGCTTCCAGGTAATCAAATTGGAACTTAATAAAGGTCATTATTTTATATAATAATGGGTTAATTGCCACAGCTAGCAAAGCTGTCTTTAGGCCTGACAGCAGAAAGCACAGGTAATGTTAGTAGGTAGTGCAGCTGAAAAATAAATAAATGAATAAAGCAAAACACACACTCCCGAAAATTTTCAGTATTTGGTGTTAAGCTGTAATACTGTGATAGTGTTTGCAATTTACAATACAATTTTTTAAAAATTAGTTATTATTGTTAATAGAACTTCATTACTCATATATTGTGCTTCCATATCTGTGATTCTTTTATGACTGTAGCTAGAAAATAGATCCTATCGTTTCAACTTGCATTTCTTACTTGATGATTCCTTGGGAATTCGCACAGTACTTGAATTATTAGTAGTCTTTTGTTAACATTGCAATAGCAGTAGTTATTACAGTGCTAACAGCAAGAACAGTAGGAGAGGGATTCCTACATTAGACCGCAAAGGGACTAGGAATAATTCAGGGGATGTATATGCTTAGCATAACAAACGCAAATTATTAGAAGTTAGATCTGAGGTCGCCTCAGGTGTTCATAACATCTCCAAGTTAAAATCTTTTTCTTTTCAGTGAAAGTGACATCAAATATAAGGGTGGATTGATGAGAACAGACCAAGGCAAAGCAGAAATAGAGTAAGCCATTAGTATGCTGTGCCTCTCTTCTGGAAAAAGCACTTTTAAAGTTCAGAGGCCATTGGCAATGGAGGAAGCTAAATACTTCCTGACACTTTATTTGAAGGCTGTGTTGCTCTGTTTCTGCTTGCTCTGGTGCAGCGCTGGATACTGCAATGTCATTTCAGTGACCACCATAGCCAGTTCCATATAAGAGAAGACTGCCTATCTGAGAATTAATGTTGGGACAGAAGTTTAATAAAGCCACATCTATTATCCTTTGTAATGGATTTCTTCACAATACTGTGACAGCTGACAATTAAACACCATAAATATAAGCAACATCTGGAGTTTTACATGTAGGATTTCTGATTTTTCTCGGTAAGAGAGAATAACACAGAAGTTTTCCCTCTCAGTCTTGTTGCTTTGATTTCAAGTAAGCTCCTAGAGAATGGGCAATCTGTAATCTATGCATTTCTTTTGACCAAATATATGCTGTCTGATTTCAACTCATCTTTCAGTAGCTTAGCAAAAACTAGAAGTTTTACAGTGCCTTCCTGGTAGTTATACTGTGAAGGTACTCTTTACTGGACTGTGGCTGCGTGAATTCTTGGTAATGGTTAGCTAGTTGTCATTCTTATATTGGAATTTCACTGGAATAATTTTTTTATTCTTAAAAAGAACTGCCAAAATGTTAGCGCATGAAAAAATTCTTTGAATCTTTACACCCAAGCACCTCTGCATCTTTTTTGACATTTTAAATGTGAATGTTACTTCTCATTAGGAAGCAAATAGAGGCACTGCTATCACTGTATTGAGCTGCACATGTGTATGTAATCTTAGATCATTCACTAGATTGCTGAGCAAATATGCAAACTACTTTTTGTGTGTGTGAAAACAAATAAAATGGTATAAACTCAAATATTTGATACTACTTTTAGTATGTATTTTCAAGTGAATAAAAAACAAACAACTAAAGCGTGGCTAAACATTGACATCCATCTTCTCTTGTACCAACCTCCTTAAAAAAACACACTCAACTGTTTGGTTGTGTTTGCTAAGATATATTTGTTAGTGAACAGATATTGTGTTGTACTGGGAGCTTGTGTCTGTTTTATGACTGATCCTCTGAAAAGAAAATGGAGAAAGATGCTGACTGTTATGAGAAATAAAACATAAGTTTCTTGTCTTAAACGTTCAGTTTTGTCTTAACCAGTTCAAGGAAAAATCTTACTTTCCCAGTTGGTTATACTATAATTCTGCCTTTCTTCCAGAGTCTTTCTTGATTGATTGATCAATACAATTAGTGACAGACATTCAGTAAAGCTCACGTATGGCCACAGTCACATTGTGGAATCTTCATAAAATAATTTAAAGAAAGTGGTTTCCAGCAGGAGGCAATACAGTGCAATATCTCAGACAAGCAGTCACCTATTAACCACATCATACCTTATGGACAGGAATGTTAATATGATTACAGAGTTTGCAGCTGGAGCCAGTGACTTGAGTAAGTCATTACAATCACTTTCTGTATGGTTTAGAGAAGAAAGGGGACCTTTCAGTTGGTACAGCTTGAAATAAGTGATTTTAAAAAACAAAATAAGAGAGGACTTATTGTTCCGAATGTTGTGCGTGTGATATGCTTTTCATCCTAACTTTCATTCTGTAGATAATTTTTAATTGGCAAGTCAGTTCTAAACAGAATTTTAAATATTAAAGATGTTGAGTTTTCTATTTAACAAAAACAAACAGAAAACCGATAGGTTTCATGGTTGGCAAAGTATCATCTGTAATACCCTGCTCTTGAAGCAATAACGTAACTGGCAAGCAGACCTGGTTTTACAGCTTTGAATAGTTTGATCACATCCTGCTGTGCAGGAACATGCTTATGACTGCTCATGTAAAAAAATTGGCATGCACCCAGTTGCTCATCTGGAGCAAGTTAAGTACCTTCCTCCATTTTGAGGAACTGTTTGGCAACAAGCAGGAGTTTAGCGTCATTGAAAACAAAGGCGAGAAGCATTGCACTTGACTGCCCATCATTATCAGCTTCAGCTAATGGCTAATAAATGTCCGCTGTTATAAGTCAGCTTCTTGCTGCTTTTTTCTTACATCCTGCTCAAGCAATTTCCCTGCTTTTGTACCAAATAAGGTGTACAACTCTATTTTCTGTTTAAGGCATTCTCAGCACACCTCAGTGAACTGGTCTTACTGAAGTAATAAACTCAAGAGTTGTAATATATGTAAAAACAGCAAAAGCATATGTAAATGAAAAAGAAATGGATTACATATCTTGGATCCTTAATTGGTGAAGGGTTACAATGTTACATGACTCTTGCCTGAAGAAAAAGATAATTCCTTTGCAACCCAAAGCACAATTTGGGATATTAAATATATTAGTAACTAGTAGTTCAGTTTTACATTCTGTGTTTTGGTGCATTTAGATGTTTCCCAAATAGGAATAATGAAGGAGTTCTTGTTTGTACAAACATGTTTTGTGTCCTAGCTGCTCTTCTATCTTACCACTTTGTATCTGATAGTTGGGAAATGCAAGAAAAGAAAAGGTAGAATGAATTCACCGTTGTTTGTGAACAAGACAGCTGGTGTGGATTATAGATGATTTTTGGTCACAGGCTTATTTCAGGAGGAGAGAGAAGTTAAAGGGGCTGTGATTGTAATTTGAGGATCCAAGGGCCATACTGGTTCCCACTTGCGGCTGATTTGCTTTGGGCATGCAATGGCAAGTTCCTGTTGCCTCATTTGCAATGAGAGG